GTTTCTTAAAGGATCTTGATGTGTTGTTTGCTGATCCAAAAGACCTGAAGGTGAAGTTTCACTGGTGTTTCCGTCCGTAGGGAGAGGTTGGTCGTGTTTTCTAATGACTGACGTGACATGGAAGGGATCCTCCAGCGTGTTGGATCCCTGAGCGACCTGTAATATCGCCAAAATGGCTTTTCCATCTCCCTTCAGAGTCAGAACTTCCTTTGATCTTCCGACAAGCGGGACAAGAGAAGACCCATCTAGGGTTTCCATGACAACTGGACCCTCAAGTTCCAAGACCTTGCTTCCTTTGTTGCCATGACGGCCCTTCGCTCCCTCGCCCCGTGACCCATCTACTTCCTGCGACGTAGGGTGGCCGGCAGGAAGCAGCCCTGCCCTGTGGTTCAACATATTGGTTTTCCTTGTTCTCGTCGGCGAGACCGACACCGGAGTCCCGAGGGAGGCTTCGACTCCAGGCGTTCCGTGCATATACACAGGGCTGCCCATGGTGATCACTTGATCCGTCGTCGTCGTGTGCATGGTCAGTGGAGACGTCGCCGTCGTGTACGCGGTGGTGAGGCTGGGGATGTTCTGGCTTGTTCTCACGACCGTTCTCGAGGAACTCTGCAACGTGATAGGAACAGACTGGTGGTTCGATATTGTTGTTGATACAACAACGTTACTGGTCAAGTCTCCTCTGGATGAGCCGAAACTTTCCATGAGGCCGTCCCCGTGTTCCTCTCGGACAGACGTTCTGACTGTGAACGGGAGATACAATTTCCTGGTGGTGGTGGTCACGGTTTCCGCGCGCTCCGTGACAGGGGAAGCAATAGGAAAGTCCTCCTCTTGTTTGTCTTGGGTCGGGAAGTGCTCGGGGATTCCCGCCGCCTCGCTCACAGGATGAGAAGGAAGGGCTTCAGTTTCGAAATGCGGGAATGAATCACCGTGGTTCTGAAAGTCTGGGTGCAGCGGGGGCTCGGGTGTGTGTGCGTAGGAAGTGCTCGCAAGCTGTAGCTCTGTCAGGGGTTCGCTGCCCTCGCTGGAATCCCCGGTCCCGACAGGTGCAACGCCCCGGGGGAGCAAAGGCTCCATCACCGGCAGGACCCTCTCATCGGGTAGGTCCTCACGAGTCGGGAGGACTATTCTCTCCCGAATCACATCTCTAGCGGGAAGAACCACTCTCGTCGGCAGGACTCCTCTGGCGGGAGGAACCGTCCGCGTGGGCTGCGCCTCCTTTGCCGGCAGAGGTTGAGTGGGCGTGAGCAGGACCTCGCCGGTGGGATGCGTGTCCCCGGTCGTCACCCCTTCTCCCTTGGGTCGCCAGAGTGCCAGCAGCAAGTGCCAACTCGGTCGAGAGGGAGAGCGGCCGTGAGCGCCAGGCTTTAAGTGTCCATCTAAGAGATAATAAAAAAGGAAAATCAGAATTGCGGGAGAGAAAAAAAATCGCTATATATTCCAGCGCATCTCCATAACAGATGCTGAATATCTCTCTACCTAATTTGTCTCTATAATAAACAACTTCAAGACACCAAAGATACTTCAGCTGGATCTCAGAACACATAACGATCATTCGTGTCACAGAGAGCTGAAAACCGTAATACATACTTAAACAGAGATAAATCGATAAAGTGGAATGAAGTAAAGGAATAGAGTAATAAAGAGAGGAAAAAAAAACTTACTTGTAGGCGCGGAACTGGTGAAATCTGCGACCAAGAGTATCGCCAGGAGAGACAAGGGGCGTAACCCACACGATGACGTCATAATGGAACACGTTGTCTGTGTTCTTCCGCAGAGAGTTGTTCTGTGGACAAAGGTAATAAGTGAATAATGGAGATTTTTTTCTCGAATATATATTTACAGTTTTTTTCTTCTTCTTCTTCCTTCTTTTATTTTGTTTTATTTTTCGTTCCCATATCAATCTTCTTTTCCCATGAACGCATTTTCTTTACCGTCTCTGTCTATCAATCAATCATTCTATTAAACTGTGTTAATCAGTTAATCAATATATCAATTTATTTACTATTTTTCTGTCTGTCAATCAACCATTATATCAAACAAACAATGTAAATCAATCTATCTGTCTATCTACCTATCGGTCTGTCTGTGACTTCCTGTTTGTCTGCCTGTCTGTCTGTCTGTATGTATGTATGTATGTATGTATGTATGTATGTATGTAAGTAAGTAAGTAAGTAAGTAAGTAAGTAAGTAAGTAAGTCAGTCAGTCAGTCAGTCAGTCAGTCAGTTAGAGTGTCTGTTTGTCCGATTATCTGTCTGTCTGACTGTCTGTCTGTCTGTCTATCTATCTATCTACCTGTCTGTTTGTTTGTCTGTCTGACTATCTGTCTGTCTGTCTGTGTATCTGTCTGGCTGGCATGCTGTCTGATTATCTGTTTCTCTGTCTGTCTGTTTGTCTGTCAGTTTTTCTGTCTATCTGTCCATCTGTATGTCTGTCTGTCTGTCTGTATATCTATTTATCTATCTATCTATCTGTCTGTCTGTTTGTCCATCCGTCCGTCTGTCTGCCTATCTGTCTGTCTGTCTGTCTTTGTGTTTGTCTGTTTGTTTGTTTGTCTTTCTGTCTGTCTATCTGTCTTTTTGTCTGCCTGTCTGTCTATCTGTCTATCTGTGTCTGATTGTCTGTCTGTCTGTTTGTCTCTCTGTCTATCTATCTGTCGGTCTGCCTATCTATCTATTTATCTATCTATCTGCCGATCTATCTCTCCCTATCCTTCTATCTCTATCTTTACCTGTGCCTATCCTTCTCTCCCTACCCCTCCCTCTTCCTCTCCCCTTCCGTCTTTCTCCTTTTCTCTTATTTTTCTTTCTCTTCTCTTCAGTTCCTCCTCTTATCCCTCGCCTTCTCTCTCTCTCTCTCTCTCTCTCTCTCTCTCTCTCTCTCTCTCTCTCTCTCTCTCTCTCTCTCTCTCTCTCTCTCTCTCTCTCTCTCTCTCTCTCTCTCTCTCTCTCTCTCCTCATCCCTCACTCACTCCCTCTCCTTTTCTTTCCCTTCTCTTCAGTTCCTCCTCTTATCCCTCACCTTCACTCTCTTTCTATCTATCTCTGCTCATCCCTCACTCTCTCCCTCTCCTTCTTTTTCTTTCCCTTCTCTTCATTTCTCCTTCCCCATTCGTCCCTGCCTTCCTCTCATTTTCCTTCCCTCTCTCATTTCCGCGAATGCTCCCTCCCAGCGAGCTAATGAGACAATGTTTAGATTACTTCGTCTCGTATTTTCTCAGATTCGGACCCGCGACCGAACTCCAGTTTCACAGAACATCAAACAAAACTTAGGAGGAAGAAAATACAAGAGGGAGAGAGAGAGAGAAAAAAAAAGAACAAGATAAAAAAAATAAGGAAAAGAAAAATAAACGACTTGATTGTTCTAACTTTGCCCTCAAGTAAAAGAGAGAGAGAGAGAGAGAGAGAGAGCGAGAGAGAAGGAGAAATAAAAGTTTTCGTGTAGGATCTAAGCAGCCGCGCGAATGAACAAGATTGAACAAAGTGTTTCGGCTTAAAGGGAGGTGCTGGACTGCGTTTGAGAGCCTTATTTGATCTTCTTTTGTTTCTCTGTGCAAACGAGAAACTTGTAAAGCAATTAGAACCCTTATTCCGCCATGTTGCTCTTTTGTTATAGGTGAGTGAATGCGAGTGTCCATTGCTGAGGACTGCTAGCTGGTGTCTTTTTTTTTTTTTTTTTTTAGGGGGGGGGAGAGGAGAGGGGGACTAGGATAGACACTTAGGAATTTATGATTAACGTATTATGTACAGTTTTTTGTCTTTTTTGATTTCTTCTTGCCTTCTCCGTCCTTCTATCTTCTCTCTCTCTCTCTCTCTCTCTCTCTCTCTATCTATCTAGATATCTAGATATCTATCTAGATATCTATCTAGATATCTAGATATCTATCTATCTGTCTATCTCTCTATCTCTCTCTTATTCTCTCTCATCTCATTTCAAATTCCCTTTCGACAACAGTTTTCTCTACCTCCATTTCTCCTCTCTCTCTCTCTCTCTCTCTCTCTCTCTCTCTCTCTCTCTCTCTCTCTCTCTCTCTCTCTCTCTCTCTCTCTCTCTCTCTCTCTCTCTCTCTCTCTCTCTCTCTCTCTCTCTCTCTCTCTCTCTCTCTCTCTCCTCTCTCTCTCTCTCTCTCTCTCTCTCTCTCTCTCTCTCTCTCTCTCTCTCTCTCTCTCTCTCTCTCTCTCTCTCTCTCTCTCTCTCTCTCTCTCTCTCTCTCTCTCTCTCTCTCTCTCTCTCTCTCTCTCTCTCTCTCTCCATCTCTTTCTCTCCACCTGCCCCCCCCCTCTTTCTCTCTCTTGCCATCTATCTCCCACCACTCCCCTCCCCTCCCCTCTCCTCCTCCCTCTCCTCCTCCCACTCTCTCTCCCTCTCATCCATTCCCTCTCCTCCCTCCCTCCCTTCCCCATTCTCCTTCCCCTTCATCAGTATAACAAAGTCCCTTATTAAAAGTATTCCCACTAATAAAACGAACCGCGACTTCGAGAAAGTTCGCGGAAAAGGGTGCAATGTTCAGACCAAAGATGGCGCTTCTTTCCGCTGGTGGAGCTGAGAAGTGGTGACGTGCTAATTGCAAAACTTTCTCTTGGCTATCGAATTTATCTCGACTTTTGAGAAGGAGGGGAAAAAAATAGGTGTGGAAAAAAAAATTGATGTAGACAAAGAAATATATATATATAGGCCTATATATGAAGAAAGGTATTTATTTTCGTTGAGCTTAAAAGATGATATGATTTTCTTTTTTAATAATATTATCTCATCTATCGGTTTTTCTTTTATCTATTTTTTCCTACGTTTTCTTTCCTTTCTTTTTTTTTCCTACGTTTTCTTTCCTTTCTTTTTTTTTTCTTTTTCTTTCTTCTGTTTTCTTTCTCCCTTTTCGTTTCTTTCTTCACCTTCCTGCCTTTTCTTCCTTCTGTTTTCTTATTCCTCTTGTTTTATCCCTCTTCTTTTCTCCGTATATTTTATTTTATTTGCTTCCCTTCCTCCCTTTTTCTTTTCTCTCGACTTTTTTCCCCATTTCCTTTCCCCGTTTTCTTTCTTCCGTTTCTTTTTTCTCCCTTTTCCTTCGTTTTTTTAACTTCCTCTATTTTTTCCTCCGTTTTCTTTCCTCTCTTCCCCTTTGTTTTTTTGTTTTTTTTCTTTTCTTCTTTTTCTTTCCTCACTTTTATTTTGTGCCTTTTCTTTCTTTCCTTTTTCCCATACTTTCCTTTTCTCTGTTTTCTCTTCTCTCTGTTTTCTTTTCTCTTTTCTTTTTTTTTCTATTCCTTTTCTCCCTTTTGGTTTGTCTTAGGTTTATTTGTATGCATTTGTAATTCCGTGTTCATTCCTAGTTTATCTGGTTCCTTTCATCCCCTTCTTTTCATTTCTCTAATACTCCGTCTACTCATTTTCTTCATTCTCTCCTTTTCCCTTTCTTTATAATTCACTGTTAATTTCCCTTTTTTATGCTATTTTTTTCCTTGTCTGATTCTCCCCTCATTTCACAAGTTTTATCACTTTCCCTCTTCTTTCTTTCTTCCTTGTTCCTTCCCTCCTGCCTCCTTCCTTCCCCTCCTTTCACTTCTTCCCTCCTTTCTTCTCCTCCTCCTTCTTCCCCTCTTTTCTCCTTCCTCCTTCTTCTTCCCTTTTTTTCTTCCTCTTCTTCTCTTCTTCCTCCTCTTGCCCTACCTTCTTCCCTTTTTTTCCCCTCTTTTCTCCTTGCACCTCTTCCCCTCTTTTCCCCATCCTCCTCTTGCTCTCCCTCCTTCCCCTCTTTTCTCCTTGCACCTCTTCCCCTCGTCCTTCCTCCTCTTGCCCTCCCTCCTTCCCCTCTTTTCCCCTTCTTCCTCTTGCCCTCCCGCCTTCCCCTCTTTTCTCCTTGCACCTCTTTTCTCCTTGCACCTCTTCCCCTCTCCCCTCTTTCCCCTCTTTTCTCATTGCACCTCTTCCACTCTCCCCTCCTTCCCCTCTTTTCTCCTTGCACCTCTTCCCCTCCCCCCCCTTCCCCTCTCGCCTGAAAATCCCATAAACCAGACTCCCCTAATCACGAGGGGGTCTGCGCGTGCCCTCGCATTTCCCTCGGCCTCATCGTAAGCTAATTCATTATACACACATTATCGATGGGTTTCTTAAGGACTCTTCGGCGGAGAACCCAGGGTACTGAGATCCACTGAAAACCCCCGGGGCGTTTGGAAAAAAAAAGGTAGAAAAAAAAAATAAATAAAAAAGGTAATAAAAAGTGAGACAAAAAATTCCTTCAAGTCACGTACGGTGAGGCATATTAGTGTTACCACCATTAGGGCGAATGATGCCAGAGCGTCGCCAGAGCCCAACGATCGGCATTGGTTAGAGTCGAGTGATCAATGTTAGCGTGATCATTGCCATGACAAAAAAAAAAGCAAAAAAGGTGTGCATATAACTACGATAAAATACTAATGCGAAGTTTGACCGCAGTGCTAATGTTGCCAGGCCTATCCCCAACTCTACCATCGCAATATTCATCATGGCACTGCTCCATCATAAGCTCTCGGTAGACATTAATACCCACACGGGCTTCTAGAGTCCTCACGGCGGAGTGGCGGAGTGAAAACGAGAGTGAAGTAACGTGAAGAGCTTTTGCGTAAGACTTAGATAACTGAAGGGATCTCAAGAGCGTGAGGATTCGACATTACTCTTATGAGAGATTGGGACTCCTTTATTCGTCGCTTAATTGGTTCTGGATTCCTCGTATTCCTGCTCTCTCTCTCTCTCTCTCTCTCTCTCTCTCTCTCTCTCTCTCTCTCTCTCTCTCTCTCTCTCTCTCTCTCTCT